CCCCCTTTCTTCCCCGCCACCTTCGCATCGTTCCTGTTACAATTTCATTTTTGCCTATACCGCCCGCTCGCTGGACATTACGTCGCGACACGGGTATCGCGTTGCGTATCGTTACACGCGCTCGCGTGTACTTACGGCGCGCCTTTAAAAGATACGCCGGTGTGTGGCCCCTATTGTGCTCCGGAATATCCGCTCATTGGAGTGTTAACCTTGGCCTCCCTCGCAGTTTTTATCGTGGCCGCGCGGTCTACGCGTAAACCGCCGGGCGCGCGCGAGAACGCGCATATTCCCGAGCCGTGCTTATCTTGCTCGTAACACGATGCTTGAGCAGCGCGTTAGAGCCCGGGCGCGTTAGCCCGCGCAAATATTAGTTGTAGAAACGAACATTAGCTGCATTACGATTTATCGGATCGAGTGTCGCGGACTTGTCGCGGAAACTCGTCGGCAATCGCGCGGTCGGTCGCGGATTAAAACGCGCGCGGCCGTGAGACCGCGCGCTCCAAACTCGACGGCCGAGAGCCGGCTCTTTGAGTTTCTCTCTGGTGAGGCTCGATCTGTCGATACTACGCGGAAGATATATCTCGCGATATATCTTCGTTGCGACCTAAGGTTGTCCCGCACGCGGCGGACGGGCGTCCGTCGAAGCTAAAGTAAAAGTCCTTTAATACTTTTCTCACATTCTTTAATGCACAGTGAAAAAGAAAAAGGAATGCGCGTTAAGTTTGACGTATTTTTAAATTTACGAATCGCCAACGTCCAGACGGATATCGAGATATTCAACCTTCGCTCACGCGCGCACGTCTCGGCGATCGAGCTCTCTCGAGTTGCGTCGCGCCGATCTTTTTTCATCTCGCCACTTCTTATTTTTGCGGAGCCTCGGCGACGTTGCGTCGCGAACGCAACAGCGTACTTTAGCCTCCGGCGCGGCGATCCGGTGACTGGCGCAATAAATAATTAATTAAATTAAGATACCGGTAATCGTCGCGTGCATTCTGATTTGCATAAATTCGCCGCGATTTACACATTTGCACAACTCCGGGCGAGCCGGTCGGCGATTTGCACCGTGGAAATCCGCCGCTGTCTCGATTCCGTCGGCTCGGCGAATTTTGCGCGAGGAAAAAAATCGCGCGACTGCCGCACTTTCGCTTTCGTCGAAACGCGCGCTGTCGATTTATAAATATCCTCATTAAACCGGTTATCGATATCGGGATTCGCGCGCGCGCGACATTTATTATCACTCGCGTCTTCCATGACAGGCGACCTCTGAATAACTCGAATTCCGAGAATGCGCGATTTCTCTCTCTCTCTCTCTCTCTCTCTTTCTCCGTAGCCTGCGATTACGCCCGCGCTGAAATGCCAATTGCATTTTGGTACGCGCGCGCGCGCGCGTTTTCTCTCCGGCGCTGCGTGCGCGCGCGCGAGACTTTAACCTTAACACGAAGGTTATCTATCGCGCTCCGATTCCGCTCGAGAAACACCAGAGAGCCGGAGAGTCGCGATACTTTTACTACCGCGAAAAGTGGGGATAAGCCGAGTATCTGTCGAATAATTGGAGACCGCGTCGCGCGCTCTCCGAGACGGCGTGTGCCCGGTGTGTCTGATTTTTCATTTTCTCCCGCGTGTCTCAAGGTTCTATTCTATCCTTAGGTGCGAGAAAGCAGGAGGGAAAACGTGACCACGACCGGACGGACGGTGTGGCGCGAGTCGATACACACCGCGGCCGCGTGTCGAACCAGGCGCGGTAAGCGCCGTGTTTTTCGCGCGACGCTCGCTCCGATTATTCAGAGGAAGATTCAGATTCCGATTTTAATGTGGTTGTTATCGCGGCTGAATTTATCAGCTTTTCGAATTAAGGCGCTACGGTGAACAGTACACTGAAAATCAGCTGCGGTAGTAGCGACATTAGCTGTTTTAGCTACTGTTTAGTTACAGCTAGATTTTGGCTGGGTTTTCGCTCCAAATTCCCTCTCTGAGTTCTCGGGCCGATTTCATTCGTCTTTTTGGATTCGTTCTCCGGGCTCGTCGATTTTCACGCTGGTGAATGTGAGACGCGAATTCCCACCTTCGTCTCAGGCCACCCTCGTGTAGTTCGCGCACGGGGTGTTTGTCGGCCGCGCAAATTTGCGTTCGGCGAGTCGGCCCTTCGTGGGGGGAAACTTCGCCGGGAGGTTAACGCCGGCTTATGCGCACGATAATAAGACGAAATCGAGGCAGAGCAGCGAGTAAAGCTGATAATGAGGCCCCATAAAATCGGGCCGCTTCTTTTCGTGGTCCCTCCTCCCGTCCCGTCAGCAGATACCGCCGTTTTGTTAGGTAGCTTTCACACGAGAGCCTGGCAGTTGTATTATCGGGCTTGACCTGTGTGTATGTGCGTGTGTGAGTCACTCGCTTCCGTCTCGTAATAATAATAATGGACATGCGCGATCGGTAATCAAAGAATGCGATTAAATTCGCACGTCGAAACGAATAATCCTCGTAACGCACAAATCGCTTTCCATTCAACGTTTTGTCGCGGAAGAGAAAACGAGATTCACACGTTTATGTTGGGCGTAAAATTTCAGTTTCGTGTAAATTTTATAACGATGCATCTTTCGGAGGGAGAAATGAACGAGGTCGGGTGAAAGTTTTCGACGCGTGATGCGATGTGTCTGAAAAATAGGGAATCGGGGATGAACTGTTCCGAAAGAAAGTGAACGTCGCCATTTTTCATCACACGTTCATGCGCAAATACACGTTCCGGTGTGGCGACAGCTTAAAAGGCAGCGTCTCTCGAAGCGCATCGCGTTATTAGCTAAATAACTACGCCGAACCCGCGTACGTTTGCTCTTATTGTTACTTCCCGACCGTGGATTTGCGCGCCGCGCGAAATCGCAGCGCGCGAGCGCCGACTTTCCAAAAAGCTCACGACGAAGAAGATTACCGGCCGACCGCGATTTTCTTACGCGCTCTTCCTCCCTCTCGCCCTTTCTCTTTCTCGCCGCATATTGTGTTGCACCGCCGTAATTTCGATACATAATTGCCGAAACGCGAACGTTACGCGAGAACCTCTCGGAGGTGTATCTTAATTACAACGATTACATTCCGTCGATCTCGGCGCGCCGAGGAGTCCGACTCGCGCAGTTATCAATTAGCGCAATTGATACACAATAACGCTACAACAATAATCTCCTAATCGACGAGGTCTCTCGGTCCTTCTTAAGCGCGTTCGAAACAAATTTCCTCAGAAGATCGGTCTCCCCGAATCGGAATTTTAATTCTACCTTAAATCTAATTCAGTTCTACATTAAGTCTCCGAAAGTTCCTTCTATCGTGCTTCTTTGATGCTACAAATAGGAACTTGGAAACAAATCTCCCTTAGGTACCTCTAGAAACGAATAAAAATCGCGATAATCATTCTTTGCCTGGGGGATGCGGACGACCCGACGTTTTATCGAACGTGTCTTCTCGCGAATTGTACTTCGGCCGGCGCACGCACACGCGTACACACCGTGTGCTCGCGCGGCCGCCCGCAAATGAGCTAGCCGTATAAGAACAACGAAGTTATCGGATGAATAATGAAAGGATCGGCCGAAATGGTTGCGCAACAGGAAGCGATAATACGAACGGATTCGCGGGGCGAGGGTTTAATATCCTCCGCACGGAGGCCGGCGGTGCGCGCACACAGGAAGACACGCGATCACGATCCGAGTCGCGCGCGTGGAGAGCGCACGGAGTGCGCTCGAGCGACACGCCGCGCTCCGTGCGCCCATCCGCCGTCGATCCATCGTGATGGAATAACGAGCTGCCAAAGCCGAAATTCGCTTTCGCGGCGCGCGCGCTCTCGGCCGGCCGCGGCCGAGAAGAACGAACAGCTGATG